AATCTTAAAACTCTGATTCAAAACAGGTCGCATATTGAATTATAAATTTAAAAAATGCAAGCCGACTTAAAATATACTGGACCCCTCCCCCCTTCAGTTCAAATGTTTACTCATGTAGTCGAACCTGAGATTGTTGAGCTCTTCTTCAGCCGTATTAATCTCGTCAATTAAACTCTGCAGCATCAAATTACCTTCAAATCCAGCATCTTCTGCCATTGTGAAGTCTAAATCATGGATATATGTCTAAATCAACACATATTTTAAGAAAAATAGAAAAAAGCACATACGATTTATCAAATTGGGAACAATTTTAGTCTCGAAATCTCAGGGAGGGGCTCTGAATCCGTCAGGATCTGTCAGGGGGGGGCGAATGTCCCCCCGCCCCCCCCCTGTATCCCCCCTGTTTAGAATCGACGAATTTTTCTGAAATCGTTGGCGCAATTCCATGGAAGTTGCGAGAATGCCGGGTAACATTCTTTTCTAGGGGTTTATGATGCTTTGGCAACCGACCTATGGAGAAAATGACTGGTGAAAATTCCGGGAAAGAGCTGTTCGATATTTTTTAAATTTATAATTCTCATCTGGGAAAACTTGGAAATACACTTTTTTTTCAAATTTTTATTCGCGGTTTGCATGTGCAGGCGCGGACAAAAGGGGGGCGGGGGGTCAATATGGGATCGTAGCGAGCAATTTCACTTTTTGAAAAAGCTGAAGGTGGTTCAAGGGGTGCTATGGAAACGCCTCAACACGGAAACGTCTCAACACGGAAATGCCTCAAAAAAAAGCGGAAACCCCTTAAAAACCGGTTTTTTTGAGACGCTTCCACAATTTCTGCAAGAAAAACGGAAATCCCTCAAAACCCAGTTTTTGAGGGGTTTCCTCTTTATTTTGAGGCGTTTCCTAAAATTTTTGAGGGGTTTCCGCTTTTCACCTGACAATTATTTTTGAGGAATTTCCCAATATTTTTGAGGGATTTCCCAATATTTTTGAGGCATTTCCGCAAAATTTTTGAGGCGTTTCCGTATTTTAAAAACNAACAAAGGAATTGAGTTTTTGCCACAAACTCAGATTTTCTAATTCCTATAACTTAGCAACCCGTTTTCCTAGACCTTTGATATTTCAAACTATAAATTCTGGTAGATCATATAGTCTAAGTTTGAAATATCAAAGGTCTACACCATCAGGTTGCAAAGATTTAGGGGTTAGAAAATGTAAGTTTGTTGCAAAAACTCAATTCCCTATTAAACATTTTGCTTAATTTGGCAACAATTCTTAATTTTACTTTAAATAGTCTTCACAAGACGCTATCAAATCAGGGTGAAAACAGGGTTCCACACCCCAAAAAAATATTTGGCGGGGGGTCAGTTGGAAATGGCCCCCTCTAAAAAAAATTTTTAGGGAAACCTGTGTACCAGCTAGAAATGATGTCCTAAAGATGCTTCTTGAGGACAACCCCAGGGTTGCCTTAACTAAAAAATCAAATATATGCAGATCATTCAAATATTTATTTACATAATTAAATAAATATGTTCAATAATTTCTATACAATACTCAAATGGTTCCACAGCTGCCATGCAATTCTAAATGATTAAAAATAATTTTTGAATTGCATTATTATTATAATTATTAACATTATCATTATTATTATTATTATTATTATTATTATTATTATTTTTGTCTGACCCATATATTTTTGATATCACAGAGTATCTTTTAATTTGCACGTTGCATTCTCTGTAAATATATTCTTCATTTTTTTATTTATTATTGTTTTCATTATTCAGTATTCAATTATTTAATTATTGTACATTTACTTTATTTAACAAGTTGTTTCTTATCAAAATCTTAATTTTTATAATTCATTATCTTAATATTTACTGTATTTACTCATAATCTTATTTTCATTAATCATTATTTGTTGTTCTAAATCGCAAATTTTTTCTTCGGTTAATATTGATTTGATTTAAAATATTATTAATTCTGTAAGTATGAAAAGTAAGGAATTTATGATAAAAATGAAGTTATTTTTACAGATGTGTTGACTTAATGGCGCTTCTAGGAACAAAAAAATATGTTTTTTAGGAACATTTTTTACACTTTTGTATGGAGAGAGGCCGGGATTGTTGTTGTAATTTTAAGTAATCCTCCATTTAAAGAGTGACATATCTGATTCACAACGGTACCCTTTAAACCTTTACCTGAGTAATAATGAGATAAACAATTCTAGTTTTCCCATCTTAAAGAAATTCTAAAAATTTTCTTCATTTTTCCACTTCACTACCCAGCAAGAACGGAGACAACCAAGGAAGTCTAAAATTGACTTACAAGACACTGGGATAGGACGTCCTCAAGACCCACAATTAGACCGGTAGTCATATTTAGACCGGAAAGACAAGGTTCAGGACGCTGTTCATGAACTGGGGTATTAAGTTACTAATGTCATTTGTCTCTGCAGGGGTCCCTTGTGTGTGTCCGTATTTTTGTCTGTGTGTTGCTACATGTGTTTCCCTGGCAACTGTTTTAAAGCTGTTCTCCCCCCACGTCCC